CTGTGGGCGGAGGTGCAGCGCCTGCGGGACCAGCAGCTGGACGCGCCCGACCGCTGTGCGGCCGAGGGGCCGTGCTTCACGCGGGAGGTGGCGCAGCTGCGGGCCGAGAACCGGGACCTGCGCCACCGCCTGTGCCACCTGCGGCTGGGCCTGGCCGAGGAGCTGAGCCGCCTGGCCAAGCGGGAGAGCGCGGCGCGCGCGCAGGAGCAGGTAGACGGTGGCCTGGGCTCCCCGAGAGCTCCGGGCGGGCTGGTGCACGCATGGAGGGTGTCAGCCCGGGGACAAGTGCACGCATGGAGGATGTCAGCCCGGGGGACCTGCGCCACCGCCTGTGCCACCTGCGGCTGGGCCTGGCCGAGGAGCTGAGCCGCCTGGCCAAGCGGGAGAGCGCGGCGCGCGCGCAGGAGCAGGTAGACGGTGGCCTGGGCTCCCCGAGAGCTCCGGGCGGGCTGGTGCACGCATGGAGGGTGTCAGCCCGGGGACAAGTGCACGCATGGAGGATGTCAGCCCGGGGACGACAGGTGCACGCGAGCTCTGCAGGGCGTGTCCGCGCCGCCCGGAGCCCTCCCGCTGGTCTTGCAGGCCAGCCTGGATGTCCACAGGCCAGCACTGCATTGCCAGGCTGACCTGCTGTGATTTCTCAGTGGGTCCCTTAAACTGCCTGCGCCCCCTTTTCTTCCCACTCCTAGTAGAAATAGCGTTTTCATTTGTTTGGGGGGAGGCCAGAGTGTTTAAGACTCATTACTCTTTCCTTAGCCAGAAAGACCAGCAGTTACATATTCATAGACAAACCATCTGGTTCTGTGTCCTGGCTGGTGCGCCCTATAGCAAAAATCTCTCCAAAAAAAAAAAAAAAGTGGTGGTGGAAATGAGTAGGATGACAAGACTGTACACAGATCTCAAAACTTTTTTTTTTGCACCAAAATACACTCAGAGTTTGCTTCCATTTTTCAGTTAACTTTTGGAAGTCCCCTTGAGTTTACCATTATTATTTAATAGAGCATGTTAATATTTCTTTTTTTTGGGGGGGGAAGAGGTTTTTGCTAATGGGCGTGTGCGCTCATCAGAAAGACAGAGAGAGACAGAGAGACAGAAAGCGAGAAATCTCCCCCCAGGGGGGATGGCCACGCCGCAATCCCTTCTCCTCCATTCTCCTCTCGGGATCTTGGGCACACATGCACAC